CGGTGGACAGACTAAACAAAATGACAGCTTTTTGGTGCAGCCCATCATTCTACTGTTTTCAGTAAAAGAAATGAGGCCTTTAAAGAAGAAGAAAAATACAGTTCCTACAGTCAAACATGGTGGAGGTTTCTGGGGTGCAATGTGCAATTCTGGGGTGCAATGTAGGGCCCAGTGTCAAAGTTGGTTCCCTGTCAGAGGTCATGGGTCTTACAGCAGGACAATGACCCAAAGCAAACATCAAAAAGCACCCAGAAATGGTTTCAGACTAGGCGCTAGAGAGTACTGGGATTGGCCAGCAATGTGTCCAGATCTAAATCCCATAGAGCACCTGTGGAGAGATCTCAAAACAGCAGCTGGGAAAATGAACCCTTCCAATCTGGGAGACCTGGAGCAGTTGTCCAAAATCCCTGTAGAAAGGTGTAAAACTAATTGATGGTTACAGGAAGCCATTGATTTCAGCTATTTTTTTCCAAGGGAAAAAAATTGAGGGTGCCAATAATTTTGTCCACTCCATTTTTGGAGTTTTGCATGGAATGTGTCAGATTTTGCTTTTTTTCCTTCTACACTTTTTTGTGTCATACCAATACAAGCCAAAGAAATAAAACAGGAGAATGCCTAAAGATTTGTAATTGCAACAAATATATATATATATATTTTTTTTTTACACACTCACACAATAAGTAACAGTAAGGGGTAATCTTGGGGAGGCATATTATGGGAGTATTCATACATTATGATTTTATATCTTTTCTATTAATTGAATTTCCTAATAAAATTGATGGATTTAAATTACTGCTTTGCGAGTGCCTACAAAGTATTTGATTGAACAGCCAGACTACACAGATCACCTAGCAAAGACCTGTAAACAAGGAGTAGGATATAATTCTACTGCTTTGTTTTCTAGGCAGTTTTAGAACTGGACTGAAGCTAGGGAATTTTCTGATTCAAGTGGAAACATCAGTTAAAAAGTATCCAAAAGCAAACATTTTAATATATTGCAACTTACTCGTCCTTAGATGTGGCTGTATTTTTTTTTTCTTCAGACTACCTACCCTTTTATCTTCACCTAGGGATCCTGCCAGTAACACTTCCATTGCTAGGGCTGCAATGCTCACTAACAATGTACCCGTCACCCTAAACAGGCTACAAAACACCTCCCCTCTCTTTATCTATATAACATAGCAGGGAGGAATTTTGTAATCCACAGAGAGAAATGGGAACAATGCTAACAGATAACAGTGCTCCACAGGCAAAGTGTACAAGAAGTGATTGGGTCACTAAATGTCTGGCAGGAGCAACAGGAATTTTTTGCACTTATTTAACAGATATAACAACATGCATTCACTTGCATATTTAAACAGACCAAAATGGAGCTAAAAAGATGGCATTTACGGTTAGATTTTGACCTAAACATTAAGGCCTTGCAAATAAAGTGCATAACAATTGTATTCTGTACTTTGCACATACTGGGCAAACAGGTTTGCTGCATGGCACCATAAGCCGTCTGCTTACAGTCCCAGGGTGACCCCCATACACTGGTTGAATTTCAGTAGGTTTTTAATGTACCGGACGGAATTTGCACATTTGTGTGTGGGGCTGTCGGCATTCCTCGATCAGCTGATTAAAAGGAGCCTGCTGGAAAATTCTTGAGCGATCAGAGCCAGCAGCCAATGAGCTGCCCGCTCTGCTTGAGTATTCTGACAGGCGCCGGCAGGATAATAAGTCAGCCCTCAGCTACCTACATCTCTATCAGCAGCTAGAAGATATCCCTGCCTTACTTCCAGGTCGCTGGAGTTATGAAAAGCAAAGACATGGTATTCACGATTTTATCCCAAGAAATCCAATTCTGATAAGATACCTTGACCCACTTTGGAGATAATAAATCCACCAACAGTCCCCGGCTTTGTCTCCCATAGTACTTGCAGCCTACTATATTCAGTCATATTATTGGCGTAAGGCAACTAGAAATGTTATGGAAAAGGCAACTAGAAATGTTATGGCAGAGAAATTAAAAAGACACCGTCCGCAATTAAAAAAACAAAAAGCATTTACAGTGTTTTTCCTTTCCATAAATTACTATTTCCTAGACTATTTCAGTGGCCTTTGAAATAAAGAATTGCCAACATGCCAGAATAGACAATTGCTGCAGATTTTGGTGCTCTGCAAAACAATTTAAAAATTGTTCTTTACCTTTACATTAAACTACTGGAGTAAATGAAATCACCGACTCAAAACAAAGACCCATCTAAGGCCAGGTCTACCAACACAAATACAGTTGCCTTTAGCGATGGCCCACTTTTCTCTTAGACCATAATCCGCAATGAATGGAAACTCATATGGTTCCATTTCTCACTTAACAGATTTATCATAAAAATACTAGAAATATGCATAATCTTTATGGAAATGTTATTTTAGGATAGTATTACAAATGAATCCGAAGCCACTGCAGGGGAAAAAAATGAAATAAAAATTTGACCAATAATAAAATGTTGTAATCCTTGCATTTCCCCCAATATATTATATCAGGTTGACAATAGGAGACGTTTCACAGACAGCGTAAAATAGAAACCAATATAAAATAAAAGTAAACGACTGTGGTACCTGCACACACTTCCAAAGTCTACAAGAAAAAAGCAGACTTCAGCAGATCTTAGCAAAAGTGAGGTCTGCCACTTTCTCTCACCTTCCCTTCCTACAAGCCAGTGAATATACTCATCATAGTGATGGGCCAAAAGAAAGGAGCAGGCCAGCCTTAATACCAGGAGGTGTTGAAGCATATGGATTAAAGCTTCCCGGTTTGTTTTGGGGTTTTTTTTTTTTTGATCCTGTGGTGCCCTTTAGGACCTCTGAACCCAGGTGAAGGTACACCCAGGTGACAGCAGAGCAACAGGTACACATGTTCAAAACAACTTAATATAGTTCATATACTGGGATCAGGTGGAGGAAGCATTCACAGAGTATAGGACATCTCTGGGAATAGACTTGATTCCGTAAATAACTTATGAAGCAAGAAAACAAAGTTGCAGCCTTGATGGTGAAGCAGCCATATTTCATAGGGGTACAGAAACAAAATGATCCATGAGGAAAAATCACAACAAAAAACCCACACGAAAACCCCTTTAAAGTTACAGATTGTGGCTGCTAGGAAAGAGGTTATG